GCTTTTTTCTTGGGAGACAATATGTGTTAGTATTTCACCTCCTCTCTTATTGTGCTTATTCCAAAAAAAAAAACAATGAGAAACCTAGTTGGGCTAACTTCATACCCATATGCCTCACTTTAGTAATCTCTAAGGTGTTAAGTAAAATATTTGCGTCTACATTACAACCACACTTATCCCATTTATCTCCCCCACAACAGTTTGTTTTTATTATAGGCGGGAAAATATCTGACAATATACTTCTAGCTCAAGAAATTATTGAAGATCTTAATAAAGAATGCAACGAAGGCAACATGGTGATTAAACTTGAGAAAAAAAGGCTTCCAACACAGTTAATTGGGATTTTATTTTAAATATTCTGGTGATTAGAGGGTTTCAAAGAAATTTTTGCATGATTATTAAAAGGTGAATGGAGAATAATTATTATAGTATTTTTGTTAATGGTACCTCTCACGGTTTTTTATCTGTCAAGAGAGGCATAGAGCAAGGGGATCAACTCTCTTCTACAATCTTTATTATTGTTTTTTATTACTTATCATGGTTAATCAACAGATTGCAGGAGAAGCATCCCTCTACTATATATTCACACAAATCCAAACTCATGGTCAGTCACCTGGCTTACGTTGATGATGCTATTATTTTCACTAATGCTGGTAATTTCTCAATCAATCTACTTACTAATATGTTGGATAATTTTCAAAACACTTCTTATTTATTCTTCAAGAAGTCAAAAAGCCAAAAAGCGATATTTATAATGGGAAGTCCGTGAAGAAACATTTGGTCAGTTGGGCTGTCAATTACATTGGTTGTTCCTCTGCTTCCCTCCCTCTAAAATATTTAGATGTCAATCTCTTGAGAGGTAGAAGGAAGCAAATATAGATGGATGTAGTGGTGGAGAAAATAAAATCTAAAAGAGGGGACTTGAGGAATATCTTTCTTTTGCTTAAGAGTGTTCTTTACAACGTTCCTCTATATGCTTTACATGTTCTTAATCTTAAAGAAAGAACTCAAATTAATTTGGAGAGGATAGTTAAAAAAAAATTTTGGTTTAGCAATGGCTCTAGGAAAATTTGGGTGGTTGGATTAAGGCATGTAAGCCTAAGTTAACTAGAGGCCCAGGTTTTAAGAGTCTTAATCACATTTCTGAAATTAATATGTTCAAACTTCGGTTCAAATTTAGGGTTGGTGAGTCATTATGGGCTAAATTTCCTCATCATAAATATTGTTACTCCACTCGTTCTGCTATTGTTAAATGGAGGACTAATGACTCAAATTTGGAAATCTATACTTTCTGGCAGAGCAAAAGCCAATAAGTTTATTTATTGAGATCTTGGTGATGGTAACATATCCTTTTGGTATAATCGTTGGTGGGTTGAAAATTTGTGTGAGCATCCTAACTCATTGCAATTTTCAGGTTTACTGGTTTCTGATTTTTGTGTGGAAGGGAATTGGAATGTACACAAATTAATTGAACTGGTTGGAGACAAAGTTAATTTTATTTCCAAAATCCCAATAAATAAACATAAGAATGACATGAGTTTATGGAAAATTAAATCCAACCTATTTTTTACAAAGATGTTGTATAAGGAATTGCAAAAATTTTGATTCTTGGAATGGGGGCATTTGATTTGGGATGCTTTTCTATCCCCTTATATGAACTTTCTTTCTATGTTGTCTTTTGATGACATCTTAAAACTTTAAGACGTTAAGGCTTGCATCATAATGCCCCTTATGTAAGTGTGGTGAGGAAAATGCCACTCACCATTATTTTCAACACTCCTACGCTAGTGAAATCTGGCTTCTATTGGGGCAACATTTTGGAGTGGCTTTTCATTCTTGGAATTGTTTGGATGATTATCTCTTGGATTGGAAATCTGATATTTTTCTTCATAAAATATTGGGTTTATTTCCTTTAATGGTTCTATAGTTTATTTGGTCTATTGGGAATAATTTCAAATATGAGATGTCTTCTCCCCCTCATCATATCACATTTTCTTACATTATTTTTTATTACTCTAAAGCCTACAGATGCCTGAAGTTTGCTACCTCTAGCCTGCATCCAAGGGAGGGCAGGAGGCCAACCCTTTTTTTTGACAACCCTCTCGCCTTGCTGGGTTAAAGCTAATGTGGATGACAGCTGGACATTAAATGGTGCTGGTGTTGGTGGAATTTTTAGGAATTATCTTGGAAAATGCTTATGTTGCTTTTCTTCTCCTGCTTCAGCCACCTCTCCTATTGAGGTAGAATGCCATGCCTTATCCAATGTTGTATTTTTTAACTAGTCCCTGTTATGATTGAAACAGATTCTACTTTAGTTTTGGATTCTTTTTTCCAAGAAAAAGGAGCCTATATGGAATCTGATAATCTGTTTTAACATAATTTGGAACCATATTGATACATATAAGCTTATTATTAAGTGGAGTTTCATTTATAGGGAAGGAAATTCACCTACTGATTGGCTAGCTAAAAGGGGATCTTTGGGGGAAACTTATGGATGGTGACCTCTTAGACATTGATTTTATTAGAGGTTAATTACTAGCTTGATGGGCTCATTCTGATGTTATTTTTCATTGTTGTTTCTGAATTTGAACTCTTCATATCTGACTTGGTATTCTCTACACACCTCTTTTCTCTGCCTCGAGCTACCTTTTGTTTGGTGGCTATAAGAAAATCCATTAACTATAAACAAAAGTCGCTCAGCTTGGCAAGTTTCTTTTTTTTTTTTGTCTAAAACTACTGGCTACCAATTGTTTTCTTTGGTTGTTGTTTACATATTTGGGATTATATAAAGGTTTTGCTATTATATTTTTGCTTTGGTTTTGGTTTCATGTTCTCTTTCATAATTTCTCGTAGGTTGTGTTGCTGATTTTTTGTGAAATTGTTTCCTTTGGAGGATTGTCACTCTGTATCTCTAGGAGCTACCTTCAGATGGGACTTGGCTTCTATCAACTAGGAGTTGCTTTCTTTGGGGATTTGGCTTTTGGATGGTTTGTCACTCTAGCATTATGAGATGCTTTCTTTTCTCTAATTTCTCTTTGGTTTCTTTATTGGATTTTGTTTTTGGATAATATGTTTTTGGGTATACATTTTCTAATTTTTTGGAGATCTTTCTTGAGTGAGTTGTATACCAGATGAAGGGACCCTAGGTATATTTGTTCTTTTAATGGGACCCTTACATCTAATTTTGTAACTCTTCTTGATAATTAATAAAATTGCCTCTGGGCTTCTCCAATATGTGTGTGTGTGTATGTATAAAGATTGGTTGGAGGCTATGATATGAGCCCCCAACCAACCTCATGTGTATAACCACTCGATTCTGCACTCCAAGGCAGATGCACTCAGACGGCCTCGAACCCGTTCATCATCATCACGATCATCTCGCAAGAATCTCGAGGTAATTTTTTAGCAAGAAATGTTCAAACTTTGATTAAAAATTATCCAACAGTCTAATTTCAACAAACTTATTACCAGACAGACCTACAAGATGAGATAGACCCAAGTCACCCAATAATACTTAAATTAGTCAATCCAAGTCAAATCAAGCACATTTCAAGTCATTAAACCACTTTTGAAAGTGTTTAATGAAGAATTGAAAGTTCAAATTGATTCTAAGTATCACGAACTTATAATCAAACCGAGCTTCTCAGCAAGAAAAATCCAAAGAGCCTAATGGAGTGGTTTGAATCCATCATTGAAGCACTCAAGTGTTCCTTAAATGTCATCTAATCGAAGGAATCGTGATTCTCTCGACCGTCCGATGGAATGGAATGAATCCCTTTTTTATTCGTAAAAAGACATCTCCTAGACTATAAATAGAGACATGCCCCCTCTTGAGAGAGGAGGGAGACCTTGAGCCAAAAGAAGAGTGGAGCTTTTAAGAGTTGAAGTCCAACATCGTTTCTACACTATATTTTTGGTGAATACCTCCCGCTTCTGCAGTCGTCAACCACCATCAACCCCCACCTGTTGGCCAACGTCGACCGTCGTGATTTGTCTTCTACTCGTTACGGTGAAGCTCCGAACGAAGTCAAGACTGACTTTGTGGAGCAAGGAAGCAACAAATAATGTCGCAAAGTCACAAAACATTCTACGGAACAATGTATCATCACGTATGTTGTGTCAAACTCTCAAAATATGTATCAAAGCTCTAGCAACTACTTCCCCTACAATAGCTCCATAACATTAGGCAACCAACTCTTTTCTGCACGATCATTATAACTCAAAAAACTTTGTAACACTTTCTTGCCTATTAGATAAGAGATGTACGTGCAAACACCAATTTATAGTGAATCATTTCAACTTGATAAAACCCTATAATTTTTTTTCTTTATAACCTTTCCAAATAAAAATTTCTGATATTTATACACATTCTTTCTATTATCTAAATATAATTTTAATTCTCATTCAACGCTAAGACAAACTCATTGCTCTATTACCGCGAATTCTCTATCAAAAAACATTCTATTCTTAAATAACTTTTAGAAAGCATGCATATATATATTGAAATTCTATTTAAAGCACCTCCCTACCACCAACATATAAGACTTATTATTCAAATTCACATTTTTCTTCCTCCATGCACCCCTTGCGATTTTAATTATACTCTGCCTCATTCATCACGGTAGGCTGAAGGCGATTGATGCAGTCCTTTCATCATATTTATTTCATTATGCTATCATACTCTAGTCGCAATCATCAAATTCCTATAGAAGTAAACATTAGCATATAAGCAAATGCTCGCTGAACCAACGTATCAGATGAGACAAGATTGCAATTCTTGGTCTGCGAGCAAAGACAGATGACCCATGAAAGTAAATTTATATTGAAAAAAAAAAAGAACTCAAAATAAATAATATAAAAGATAAAGAAAATCAAGCCAAACCATACTAAAAGCAATGAATGCATAACTAAACTGCCGCAGAGACAATCATATAAGGGATTACTAGGAAACTCAGCATGCAGCTACTTCCAAACCAAGCAAACGGTGAAAAATTAAAAAATTGGCACCAGAAGTTAAATACTTTCATAAAACTGCAGTCTATACTCAAAAGTGCAAATGATGCTCATCAAATCCATATAGAACCCATCTATCATCGCATCACACAATGATTAATCAAATTTTGTTTTTTTTTTTTTTTTCCTGATGTGAAAGGCAAATTTAACTTAAAATTTTGAAAATCTCAGAACCATAACAAATTCAACGAAAAAAAAGAGATTATTCTTCATCAGAACCTGAAGATTCACTACTAGTATGGCCTTTCACATTCAAGACACCATTTACAGCTTTGCTGTTGTGTTCCTTCTCATCATCCTCATCATCACTGTACTCACTCTCATAATCATCATAACCCTCTTCCTCCTCTGCTTCTTCTTCCTCAATACCATCCTCGACAGGTGCCCCTTCCTCGACCACATGGCCTCTTGTCCCAGTCCGACTCCGTTTTAAGACCTTGAACTTCAGGTTTGCCTTTGTGTCACATCCAATCCATGCATCACATAAGCAGTAAGAGCATAGATTATAGGTCCCTTCAGCTGGGGCCTGGAACTTGCCCATCACTAACCTTGATCCACTCTTCACCTTCTCAATAGCTCTCATCACAGCAACATTCACGTCCTTAACGCTTGCACCCAAAGCCTCCTTTGTTTCTTGAATAGCCTTAGAAGCTGCAGTAATGGCTGCAGTCTCATCCATGAAGTTCACCTTCTGAGAAACCCAGACTTCATTTGTCACGGGATCAGCAAGCAGAAGCCAGAAATTCTCTTCTTTGTGGAACGGATAGTAGGGAGAATGAGGAAGAGCTCCAACAAGGCCATTTCTCCTGCTGAGATTGATCCACGCATACATTGTTACAAGGTCACTTTCCTGAATGCCCTCTTCTCCCTCTGTTTCGCAGGTAACTTCCAGAGTAATGGACGGCATCATTTCGAGCACAATCTCAATGTCGTGTGCCTCGGTATCCGAAAATCCAGCAGCATGAATGAGTAGCTCATGACGTTCCTGAACACCCATGTCACGTAGATCCTGAAAAGTGCGCACTTTCTGAAAGAAAATAAATCATGGCATGAGTTTTCTTGAATAGAAGCACGAACTCGTTATCATAAAAGTAAAAAAATGAAGTAGAAAAACATGGCATAGCACAAAAAGCTGCATGGCAAAGAAAAAATTATAATGATGGTCGCAATCAAGATATTTGCACTTGGAGAGGGAAGAAACATAACATTTAATCATTAATGCAAAGTGGGTAGAGTTCTGCAGGACTAATATTTTGTATTAAAAAATAAGCCAGAGATAGAAAATGACAGTCTTGGGAGGAATTGTCTCGGAGTTTTGTGTTAGCGCTACCCAAGGCTGTTGGTAGAGGCTAGGAATAGGTTTTAAAAAATGATTCATTTCCTACCTAGCTCAAAATTAATAATGCATCCCATGTGGCAAGGTTTTTCGTTAACTAAGTTGTTAGAATGTATGCCAACCTTCCACCAAAGTCCTTGATTAAATTGTTAGACTTGTGTCATATTTTTGGAAGATATTATCAAAATTACATATGACACAAGTGAAATTCTCCTTTTTTATAGGCTCAAGCTGCTAAGCAGACACTAAGGTGGTAAATAAGATTCTTGGAATCTTGCTTAGGATTTTCCTACAGAAAACAGCTTATGAAACAGAGATTTACACCTACCAACTTGATGAATTTACCTATAAAAACATTATTTTCACAACCACCAAGAGAACCCCATTTGAGAAGCTTATAGTCATGATCGAGGCTAATTGATATGACCAGCATTCCATCTCATAAATTTTCTGACGTGGCATTCTCATTTGCAAAGCATTTGCAATGCTCTTATGCTAATGTGAGGTGAAGAATAAAAAAAAATAGTAATGCTAAGAATGCTAATAGAGTAAATCATAATCATTATTTCAAAGAATAGAAAAAGGAATGTGTTGGTTCACATTCAACATGAAACCCATTTTAAGTAATGAAAAAGCTTGGAATTAATGCATTGGTCTACCAACATATATGTAAATTAATCTAATTTTGATTACTGAGCATATTTTCTTATTCAAAAGAGTTAACCAACCTTAAGATTTAGAAACTAACACAATTGTAGGAGATAGATCTTATTAATAGCACGTGCCTTCACATCTTATCAATTGCATGTGCTTCACAGCCCACTTTTTCCGATATGGAATCAATCTTTACGGATGAAATGACTTCAAATCAAAGTATAAAATGAAAAAAAAAAAAAACAACTGACAAGAGACATTTGTTTAGCAAGAGAGGACCTACAAAAGCTAGCACCAGACTTGTGGAAAACTACCTGGATTTCAACACTTAAATAAAGTGTTCATTTGGTCATAGGGAATTCCAAATTTTAAATATATATTTTGAAATTCAAATTTAATTTTTTTCACGGCATTTCTAAATCTCAGGCTTCACGTAACATTATACTTGTTGGGCTCTAACTTGAGACCTTGTGAAAGGTTTTCAGTTTCGTGAATCACCTTAATTTGTATCATCACAAACTATTTAGTTAAGCATCTACCAAGCTTTATTAAAAATTAAAGGTGGAAGCAAAATGAATATGTACCGAGTGGACAAAACTGTTTCAAAATGGCCTTCATTCTTAAAACTATTAAGCGCTTCAATTGGAGAAATGTATGATATCCAGAAGCACAAGAAATCAGCACCAAATATTAAAATGTCTAATGAAATGAGTTCCTTATCTGATAGAGTTTAATTCCATCATCAATGATTTGAGGAATATTGATGCGATGGTAGATGATGAAGCTCAAGATTTGTTATTATTATGTACTTTATCACCATTTTATAAAAACTACGACATCATGCTACATGAAAGAGATAACAAAGCTTTCCAAAGGGTCAAGAATTCACTTTTTAACTAAAAATGGTATTTATAGGCTTGAAGGTGTTAGACATGAAAACAATGATGGATTATTAGTTATGGGTGATCCTTTGAGAATAATAAGTCAACCTCTAATCACAGCAAAAGTATTTTAACTAGTCAAGATGACAAACCTGCTACAAAAAAATGAGTAACATGCATATGAAAATTATGAAGCATCAACTAGCACATTCTAATGTTGTAGATTAGTCTAATGAAGATCTAAAAGATGCTCTATTAGCAATGTTGGAGATAATTGAATAATAAGCAAATTATAAAATTTAACTTGTTCATATCATATATGTCCTCATAGAGTGATTATGTTTGTCTTATATGAGAAATGACATGCTTTATAAGTTGCTGATTGAATGACCAACTGTTTCACATAAGGAACTCATAATCCCAAATGTCCACTGTTTCACATATTGAACTTAAGTTCTCCTATCCCAAAATTTATAGATTTTCTCTTACAATTTTTAAATTCAAAATCAATCAGGCGCAAATTGAATGACGTCAAATTGTTAACTAAAAATATGTGACCATAATCACAAAAGAAGAGTAACAAATCTATCAAGTCTTGGGGGGATGCTTTGAATATGAATAAGAGACAAGAGTGGAACAAAGAAAACAAAAGAGAGAGGAATTCTTAAAGCTATATATTACTGCTCATTTATTTAGTTTAGTGAAAACAATCAAATCTTTGTGTTTACCTAGGCTTATTTAGTTGAAACAAGGAAATCTTATGTTCTCGTGTTATTGAAAACTTTTGTTATTACTTAGTGGTTCAGTGGAATGATTGTAGAAAATAATTGGCATAAAAATTACATATTTTCTAACATGGACGTTACAGCACATCTTACTTTAGGCAACTAGAAACAACAGAATCAGTTGTGACAACATGCAAGCAATTTCATTAAAAAAAATTATAAGAGCCAAACTTATATGATACTGACATTTATTTAAGCAAATCCAACCAAAATTAACACAGTATAAGAAACCCGACATCCAGAACAAAAAAAATTCACACTAAAAATATTCAGTTTTTACCTTGCGGGCAATTTTCTTGAAAATTGCCTCACTAAAATGTGGAAGTTGTAAGAACGCGGCTATTCCTTCCGAATTCGCCCCACCTGCTTTTCTTGCACTAAGTGGAACAGCCTGCGCTAAATAATAATACAGTGTGAGGAGTATCTTTGCATGCTCCGTCAAATATTAATTTTAGCAATTTCAAGAAAAAGCGCATACACTTATTGTTCATGCATGTTTGAGATTTTAAACGGTACATAAGATTTCAAATATGAAGTTATCCATGAGTCCAATGCTAAATTTGTGAGCATTCTGAAAAGGAAGTTAACTGGCGGAGCTAATACTTGATCAAGAAAACAGCATTTGATAAAACTATTCAAGCATACCATAAGTTTTTGTCTTATACCTAAATTAGAGATTAAAAAATAAATACTATGCTTTGAAAGTTGAAACAGTTGGTCATCGTTCAACATAAATTTTAAAATTAGTAAACAATAGATAGTATCTTTCAGCAAAAATAAGGGTCATTTAGCTGCATATCACTCAATTCTTATGTATTTACATATCGAACACCTAACTTTGATTTTTTACATTTATACCACCCAAATCCTTTTATATAACATCAAAAATACAACTATTTCAAATTTTAAAAAGTGAAATACGAGTTGTTAAGCATAGGTAAGGTGGCATATATGAAAAAAAATTAAGGTTTAGGTTTTAGATATGTAATACTTAGGAATTGAGTGGTATGTGTGTAAATCTTCCAAGTTAAATTTCGACCGTAGATATTGTCAAAACTTAACTGGTACAACGAACTACATGAAGGAGTGGAGTGCATAACCTGAACAATACTTTGTGAAAGCTCAACCACCCCAATCGCAGGTCTTAACCATCCATGCCCCAGGGGATTGCGGGGTAGAACAGCTATCTGAAAGCAAACAATATGTGATGAGTACATATAGAAATTAAATGTGAAATAAAACGGCACAGGAAATTAAAATAAAACATAAAGATATATAAGATACCAAATGTCGTCAAAATAAGTAAATGCACCTACATCAACTAGCAATAGGTGGTACCAAACCAATACAGATTAACCATACGTTCGGAGGCATGATTTGCATGGCTATGTTATAGAAAAATAAGGCTTCCATTTGTTAAATCAAAGTGCTGAGATAGACATATAAGCACCGCATGCATGTTTAAGATATGCCAAAAGCCAAATGACGATTCAAAAATCAACTAAAGATGATTAACACAATCTTAAAGAATTAACCATAGTTTCAACACAATCAAAACATTCAACATTTTCCTACCTCCCATCATTCAGCATCAAAAAAATATCCATTGAGAAAATAAATACAGAATACTAGGTTTTAAGATCTACTTTTCATCCACCTCTATCTCTCACACTCTACAAAAGAACATGCCTACTTGTTGCTTATTTAACGCAACATTCTAAACCAAAACAATCAGCATTGAAGCATGCAATTCTAATGCACCATAATGAAGAATTTAAAAACAACTAGCTTGATTTTTACAGTAAAAAATGTTATAGAACAAAAATTATATAAATGTAGAACACTCATAAATAACAGATGCCCTCCACGCTTTGTGTTTTATATGCATCATCACCGAGAAACATTCACCGTTCCTCACTTGTGGCATTGATGCCCCCCTGTGTATCCAAAACACAGCGATTGATTTCTTTCAATCAAAATACAGTCCGGGGAATATCATTGAAAGTGAAAAAATGAGCACCAAAATAAGCATCCAATGATTTCACAAATGTTCCCATATAAGGGATTATATTTTGAACTACGTTAAATGCATATCTCTTACTAATGTCCAGAAGAATCCATATAATAATTGAAACATAAAAGTTAATGTAATCCAAAATTGTAAAATTAGTGATCAAAATCATGTCCATTTAAAGCACCTTGACAAGTTCTTCGAGAAGACGAGGTGCGAGCTCAAGCATTCGCTTGAAATCTCCCAACAAAGAAGAAGATAAACTGGCAGACTCACGAGTCAATTGAGCTTGTACCAAGAGTTCCATCTGAAAATAATTATCAAACAGTAAGTACATCAACGTTGATACAGCCATATTATTTTACAAATTATCAACTGAAAACATCCACCTTAACCAATGCAGGATGTTGTTTCCAGAACTTAGCTTGCTCTGTCTTGATATTTTTTAGATCCAAATTCAACTCGCTTCGAACTGCCACAAACAACTTCTGAAGGGGTTCAGTATCACTTCTACGGATGGGCATTTCCACATATTCTGCAGCCTTAATGAAGACATCCATGACCTTGCTGATCATTAAAAACAGCCGAGTTCAATAAGAAAAATTCATGTCAAATAGTATAAGTGAATTAGGATATGCATATTCTAAAAATAATGTCGATACCCTTCTCACCATCCACCTCAACATCAATATCTATGTATACATGTGCATATGTGTATGCATAAAAATATATGTGCATGTTAATGTTAATTACGTATATGTGTTAAAATGAAAATGACAACAAAAGACTCATTGATACCAATGTTGAATATCATAGTAATGCAATTTTTAAAGGATTTGTGGTATAAAGAAGGATGGTTAGCAAGTGATGGTAGTGGTGATGGTAAGATGAGATGAGCGAAAAATAATCATATTAAATATGTATCCTATATATATATATATATATACTCGTACATGTCAACAAAGAAATCAATGTAAACTAAGTGTGAAAACATTAAAGGATAAGTGTGAGAATGCAGGAGTAGCAAATATTATGGAATAAGGTGGTATATTCATATAACCTTAAAATTAGGTTTTGAAGCTAAATGATACATGAGAAGAAAAAGATCACCATTGTTATACTAGAAGGAGACAGCTTGTTGGGTTATTGAAGTAGTTACATAAGCGAACAAATAATAAAATTTGCCAGAAGACCATAAATATCATACACGCTACTCAGCCTCCTTTATTCGTACATGCTAAAATTATTGATTTAGTATAAAGAATTAGAACTGATATGAGTTCCTGGTGGCCAAAAAAACATAATAGATTTAGAAATACCACAATACCGAGGAACTAAAATGGCAGAGGACTAAACAACCATGCATAGGGCTTTCCATAAACATGTTCACGCTTCTCTAAGAAACCTTCATAAGAAAAAATGATCAATAGCCGACCTCCCATAGATATGGCCCGAGTTCACAATAAGAGGCTAGAATAGAACTTGGAAGGCTTCTGGAATTTTTCAGGAGATTTTCTATAGATTTATTAAACTAAAGGTCTCTCAGGGTGTTGTTTTCCACTGTACCTCACATAATAAATGCAAAGTTCAGCGTGGTTCATTTAGAATTTTTTTTGTCTAGATATCTGATAAAGGTCACAAAACTTATAAAAAAAAAAACATTTATTTTATAAGAGAAAGGCGCTGATCTTCATTTCCTTGTTACTTCTGGAAAAAGTCCATAAAAAGTGACACTTTGATACCCCATTGGTGTGGATCAGACAAAAGAATTTTGAAATTATGGTTCCTACATCTTATGACTCTAATTCTTTCTACATGGCCGAGAAAATAAAGCATGTTACTAAATTGGAATATTTAAAACAGAAAGCTGGCAATCAGCTACTCATTACGTGAAGAAATCAGTTTCAAAGTTCAATAGTAAGACAAAGTTTAAGGGCGCTTAAAGCGTAAAGCAAAAAGCTAAACAGCACAAAATTAATCTGCAATAAAATTTATATTAGAATAAACTGAGAGATATATCAGTGCTCAAGTTAAAGGGAAGCATAAATTCCACAAGTCAAAAGCCAAAAGAATAAAGTTTGGTATCCAACAACAATATTCATGAGCAGACGATAAGAAGGACAAGGACACAGGTTGGAATTGCTAAGTGTCTCAAAGAAGGAAAAAAGAAAAAAGAAAAAGAAAATAACAAGATCCAATTAAAATTTTCATTTTGAAAGCCATGCTTTTTATTCATAAAATACTGTTCCAGGTTAAATACTAAAGACCGTAGCTAACTAAAACACACATGCACAAAAATTTAAGCACAAAAGAGAAACATCCTACTATCACTACATGCATTATAGTGAAGTATACCAAACACACACTCCACGTCTCATCAAAATTTATCAGCTCAAAGAATAAAGTCAAAATACCACAGTGATTACTCTCATATTAACTAGAGACTTACGGGAAAAAAAGTCATAAAAAATTATATGGAATTTTTAATGAATGCTGCAAGGTCAAAAATTAAAGCCAAATTACAAATATGGTTATAAACCTATACCTTGGAGCTAATGAAGGTTTCATGAAATAGAAGTAGGTTGACAAAGTTTGATGCATAACATAATTCCCTGTATACTTAGCAGATCTTGATAAATATATCACTGCTATTATAAGAGGTAAAAGAATGCAGACTCCGACAATTCCAAGAAGAAGTATCCCGCCAGATGCACCATCAAATTTTAGCAGAAATTGAGGTAACGCAATCCCCATTTCAAGCCCCTGAATGAAAAAAAAGATAATCCCATACTATTAGCTTTCATAATGCAGAAACTACCCCTTCGTTAAGTGAATTTATAAAAAACAGTCCAGCACATTACCTGCCTACCATCTGGGTGACCGTACTTTTCATAGTTTTCACGTGAAACAGGATCAGTCAAAGCCTGGTATGCCTTAGAGATAAATTCTACAAAATATTTGTGCGCCTCTGGAAAATGAAGAGTAAAAACTAGTTAGATGAGACAAGCAATTATCGTTCACATCGCAGATGATCAAAAGCATGACAGAGTGCATAGAAATCACACCTGGATCAGGGTTTTTATCCGGGTGATATAAAATGGAGAGTTTTCTATATGCCTTCTTTATTTCTGAATCTGATGCTCCTGGTTCTAACCCAAGAATGCTAAAAGGTTCAAATGGTTGGCTCTATTAAACACAAGAGGAAGATAGTTCAATAATCAGATTCGGGGGATTTTGAAATGATACAATACTGAAATAAGACTGTATTTTAGAATGACAGCACCCTTACGATATTCAACTGAATAATATACTAGTATAAGTTGCTTCCAATTGCTAGAAAACTAAACTAAAGGCATCAGAATACAAATAAAGATAGAAGCATTTTCAATGACAGCACAGTTTATTTCCTCAAAGAAAATTTTTCAAAAGTTATTACTATTGATACAGCAACTACAACAACAACAAGCCTTTATCCCACTAAGTAAGGTCAGCTAAATGAATCATTCTTCTCCATTGTGTCCTAATGAGTGTCATATTTTCATTTAATTCTAATAAAATGAGATCATTTTTTATAAAACATGCCCAAGTCTATTTCTATCTCTACCTTACTTAACATAAGTTGAATCTAAAATATCTACTCTCCTAACCAGGTCATCGGATGGTCTATATTTAATGTCACCAAACAATCTAAGGCGACTCTCTCTAATCTTGTGTGCATTTCTTAATAGTGCAATTATTGTAGTAAAATCTTAAGCTACCAAAATTCTGACTATGCTAAGTAATGCTAGGGACAAATTTAATTACCCAAGTAGGAAGGGAAAGAAGCAGGGGAAAGTGTCATTTCCATCACTTTTTCTAGCTTTGTTAGAAAGTGGCAGCACGAAACTCTCACTTTCGAGAAGTTTCTGTTTTCTTACTTGTTTTTTTTACAAATAAAGAGCAGCAGCCCACTCCTATGGATATGTGCTGATTCATTAAAAGACTTTCTCCTCATCTTGTTAGTAAAGATAAACTTAAGGTCAGATATGCCACATCTTTATAGACTGAAAATGAAATTAGATGTACAAGACCTTCTCGGTCTCTTAGAAGTAAGAGAGAAACAAACAAAACAAAGAAAGAAAAAATGGGACCAAAAGTTTTAAGCTAGCAAACTAAAAGCTAATGTAATATACCTCACGGCTTGTAATCTTGATGTAATAAACTAGAATCACCATAATCACCCAGAGCAACAGAATTGTCAGATTACTGCAAGTAGAGAAGTTTGAGATCTGCACAAAGAAGAACAAAGTTTATGAACTTTCTTGGTAACAGCACAGCAGTACTAGTCGAGTTATAATATAGTCTTCTTCTTTTACCCGTTTTAATATGGATCTTCTGTACTTCCCAGAACGTGAACATACAGAGCATTGGCAATGAATGGTTTTCGTTTTTCTTGTTACAAAGCGGGATAATCTAACTATTGTGTAGGGTACTACAGAGAGAGCCATCATAGTAAGGATAAATATGGGGAAAAGTGAACCATTCTCCTCAGTCGTTGCCATTACTCCCTTCTGCAGATGAAAAGAAGCATAATGAATGAAATATAAAGGAGTAAAGATTTACAATCTCATGTAAAAGAATAAAAAAATGAAAAAGAAAATAATTTATAATTCAAAATTTAAAACCATGTTACTACAAAAAAAAAAATGAATGTAAGAGATTCTTTATTTTTTTCTATCACGATTTCTTAGAAAGGTACGAAACCATCAAATCCATAAGCAAAAAGAAAATAACACACATAAACCAGCAACCCACAATTTATATATGTTGACCTTCACGACACAAAGAAGGCAGAGGTAAGGAGACAGCCCAATTAACAAGTACAAATCTCAGATTAAAATGAGAAGAAATTCCCAATAATAAAACTACTGATCAGAGCTTAATTATAGGTAGTAAAACTTCCGCATCGACTCAAATAAGATTTAATGAAGAAAAGAATCAATCTAAGCATTACTCAATCAAATTAGCCAAAAAAAAAAAAAAAATAACTCTATTATTTTTAACATTATTGTTCCCCTTTCAATTTGTTGATGAACACGATAAGCCCCAAATTGAAGAGCATAATAGATGTTAAATAATGAATAAGGTGAGAAATCAAAAAAAAAAAGGAAGTAGGAGAAGAAAAGCTTAAATTATTGTGCTTTCTCCTTTCTCAGCATTTGGTGCTCAAACCATTGCCACCAAACTTCAACTTTCTGCCTCTTTCCTAATCTATGTCTTCTCTCTGAAACCAAAGAAAATGGATTTAATAAACCATATACTATATTACCTCTCTATCTTGCCAATTCAATCCTCTCATGCAGCCCACATAAGAGTGCCCCACTCTCCTGTAGCTCAATACCACAATTCACTTCAGCAATTATGTTCTCCTAAGAACTTTTCAAGGGATGTAAATTATAACGTAGTCATGCAAGGAACAACTTCTAAAGAAAGAAAATATATGTAGGCATTCTAAACTAATTTCTTTAATAAGGTATATCATAATAAAATAGAATAAATTATGTAATCAATTTATAAGCCCATTATAAACAAAATTTGAGAAATTAATCTATTTTTTTATAATTGATGAAAGATCCAAAAAAGTTTGAAAATTCTTTAATTCATCTTTCACTATGACAAGTATATATTTATTCATGGTTCAATCTTTCATCAAAGATTATCCAATAATAATAATAATAATAAAACAATGAACAAGCCATCTTCGATTCAATATTGGATTATGATCGAGCTATCTTCAATCAAGGTTCGGCCATTATTAAATCATTGTTCAAAGATGATTCAAATCCTTAGAAATAATGCTTAATGATCACTATTATTTATTAATGGTATGGTTCAAAGTGTGTACATTGTATTCAATCCTAAAGAACATTACTAACATTTAAAGACGATGAATGAAGAGAGGCTGACACATTCACCCATCGAACCGTCATGCTCTAAAATCATTGAAAACAAAGATGGAGCTAGGAAGAACAATCAAAGAGCGCATATGATCAAAAAGTTGCATAACCATTCTACAAGGGTTCTATCTATTAGTTAAATAGCAAAGGCATTTCAATCCAAAATGAACTTTTAGGCATGTTTTAATTAACATTTTTTCTCAAATTTCGCTATTATGGAGCATATGAAGCCAATTTCCCTTTATAAATTTATTATATAATTTTAAATATTTTATAATATAAATGTCTTCTATAAGAGAATCAGGGTAGAACATCTTAACCTTTATTTTTCCGAAATAATTCATTGTGTAACATCGAAGCAATTTATATCCTTTGACACAATGGCTTGATCATTGTTTGAATAATGTTCAATCAATTCTATCGAATCATCCTCTAGCCATCTTTGATGAAGATTGAATAATGATCAATCCAAGTTCATAAATGAATATATCATGATCGAAGATAATTCAATCATTGATAAGATATGATTTCATCATTATTTGATCTTTAAACAAACCATCTTTGATTAATGATCAAATGATGATTGAAGATAAATTTCTCATTATCAATGATTAAACAAAACGGGTTTGATCATTGAAGGAAGAAGATTCAAACATTATATAACCATTGGTGGAACAGTAATAGAGCAAACATATTCATCTTCGATCATGATCAAACCACCTTCGATCAAAATTCAATCATTATTCAATCCTCAATCAATTTTGATCTTATTTCGAACATAATTCACTCCTTGTTGAGAAATAGTTTGAGCATGCTTTATCATTATTATCTCTTTTGAAATTGACTAATTTGAAGTTTATACATATATTTGATCCAATTATATCAATGGAGATGTCATGGTGCTCGGGTAACATTGAAGGTTGAGAGCTTGATTGATAGTGTGAAAAGACAAACATGAGCGAGCTCACTATTTGTTTGTGTTTGGTCGTTCGAATATTTCATTGTTTGAATTCAGCTCAGCTAGAAATTTTACATTAATATGATGCTCCAAGTCTCATTCATATAAATTGTGAAGTATTCATTTAGCTTGCTAAGTCTCAAATTGGCTTGAATTAAAAAAAACACACACACACGCACCCACAACTGTTAGGAAAAAAAACATGCACAAATTTTCTGAAATGAATATGTAACAAATTTAAAATACTAATTAGTACTGATAATTTATTATTTAAATAAGAATCTTCAACTCAAATTGTACAGCAAGAGAAATGACTTCAGTACAATTTATTCAATAAAACACAATAGTAATAATTATAAATGGTACAAAATTTGAATCAAACATGTAGACTATAAAAACAAATATGTGCATCATAGACATGACTATTTCAAACAATATAGCGGTTAAACTGATGAAAAAAAATTAGCACATCTTATCTCAATAAAATTATAATTAAAAAACAAAAAATCGAGGAAAAGTAGAAAGAAACCTACAGATTTTTCAAAATATTAATTCTTCTATTCTAGCAAAATTAAACCCTAGCAAATTAAAAGTAATAACAACAATCTTTCTCCATTGCGTCCTATAGAGTGTCATATTTTCATTTAATTCTAATAGATTAAGATCATTTTTTATGCATTTTGCCCTAGTCACTTTAGGTCTACCGTTGTCTTTCTTAACATAAGCTGGATCTAAAACATCTACTCTCCTAACAAGATCATCAGATGGCCGGCGTTTAGTGTGACCAAATCATCTAAGACGACTCTCTCTAATCTTGTCCGCCAATGGAACTACACTAACCCTATCACGGTTATATTCATTAAGCATTTTGTCTTTAAGTATCAAGTCACTCATCCACCTAAGCATTCTCATCTCAGCAATACTTAACTTTGTTTTGCGCTTCTCATTTAAAGGCCAACATTATGTTCCATAGAGCATTGTAGGTCTCACCAACATCTTATAAAATTTTCCTTTCAGTATGAACGGTACTTTTCTATCACACAATAGGCCTCGATGGATTCCTCCATTTCAACCAACCAACTTGAATTCTACTAATAACATCCTCATCTATATCACCATCACTTTGAACTATAAACCCGAGGTATCTAAAACGTTCACACCTTTTAATGATTAGATCACCCATAGTAACAATTCTGCCACTAGAACTACTACTACTAAAATTACATTCCATATATTCAATTTTGGATCTACTCAAATGAAGGCCTTTAGAGTCTAATGTAGACCTCTATTATTCAAGTTTTTCCTGAACTCTTCTAGTCTTATCCACAAGAAAGATATCATCAACTAAAAGCATACACCAAGATACATCCTCCTGTAAATGTCCGGAAAGATCATTCATAACTGAAGCAAAAAGATACGAGCTTAAAGCCAATCCCTGATGTAATTCAATTGAAATAGGAAAATACTTGGTCAATCATCCTGCAGTTCAAACACAAGTAACAGCTCTAGTATAAATATCCTTAAGAACTTGAATATAAGTCATATCAAAACATTTTTTCTCTAGAACTCTCCAAAGAACTTCTCTTGGAATCTTATCGTAAGCTTTTTCTAAAACAATAAAAATCATATGCAAATCCTCCTTAATCTCCCTGTACTTCTCCATCAAACCTCTCAATAAATGTATAGCTTCCATAGTAGAATTGTCTGGCATAAATTCAAACTGATTATGAGAAATCTTTGTATCACGTCTTAACTTATGTCCAGTTACCCTCTACCACAATTTTAAAGTTTGACACTGTTGGTCAATTTTTTAAAAATTTTTAATTTGAATTTAATATATAACATAATTTTAATTTTGAAAATAATACTCTTTATTTTGAAAAACAAAGAGACCAGATAGGTATAATATATCTAATAGTTTAGATAGTTGAGTGCGATGCCACAAATTATATATCATCTCGAAATATACAGTCCTAAACATATGCCCGTTGTTTGCTACCCTAAAATTATATAAAAATATGTCAAAAAAACAGTAAATAGTGGCAGCAGTAATAATAATGCAGGTATGAACAAATATGTACAGTAAAGTACAGTAAAAGAGAAAAAGTAAGTACGTATCGGTCGCCTCTGATGATGCTTCAAAACAAATTACAATTGTATAGTACAGTTGCATATATAAAAGAAAAGGGTAAAACAAGCATTTAAATTTTAAATATGGAAACAGGAGCATTTATATTTTCATTAAAAAAAAATGTCAAGTGATAGTCATATGGAAAATTTGAATGGAGTATAAGAATTTAAGTTGGGAATTGGCTCAGTTATAGACCTTTCATCCGTCATAATCCCACAGACAACTGAGGCATCGAAGTCTATATACCAAGATTGAATAGAAGCTAACACTCTAAGGTTGGGCAACTTTGAATCCCTATCAGCTGATTAACAAGTGAACATGTAAAAGATAAAAATCCTCAACCTTATGTATCATATGTATGTAATATTCATGTATGTGATGTTTTTGTAGCATTTTAATTTCTAGATTTTCAATAGCTGGCGTTATAAAGAAGAGATTCACAAGTCCTTCAAAGCTAGGGTCAAAGCTACCAACAATCTAATAAAGTGAGAAGGGCAATTACTAATTAAATATTGGTTTAAAAGTTTCGGCTATATAAACATGAGTATAGTGTTATGCATCATTGCCCTTAACCCTCCTACTTTCCAACTTATAGGCTCATTCGATAATCCATATGCTTATCCAATGCTTTAGGCACTTTATCACCAATACCATAAAAAAAGATAAATTCCCAGAATTTCCAAGGAGGAGAGATAGCCTATTTAACCGGCGGCTCCTCCACATTCGTACTATTCCCATCATACCTTAAACAACTTAAAGGAAACAAGTGCATATTCCAACTCCATGGTTAAACAAGAGTTTGAATTGTATAAGCAAATAATAATAATAATAATAATAATAATAATAATGCTTAGTTGTTAAATATGAATACATAGAAGTTAAGTGATATGTAAGCATACAGAATTTAAAAGAAAATCTGTACATATACATTGTAAATAAAGGTGCCACATGTATATCAACAAAAAGATGGAAAACCATCATATATTCCTATTCCAAGTAATATATGTATGTATATAAATTGCAACTGAAACCAATTGAAACCTCGTTTGGGGTCTAAGCATAAGAAAAATGTATTTACATACTGTCATTTAAGTTCTGTTCATGTTAAAAGAAAATTCAGAATATAAGGGAAATTTATTTAAATATATTAATTGCATCTATAATTTCAATATGAACTGTTGTAATCATTTCAATCAACACTATGAATATTAAATAAGCAAGTAGAATATGACCAACACCCTTTGATTCATATAGATATTAAGCAATAATTTACATGGAAATTGTATAGAGTACATGTAAACCCGCTTATATATGAAACAAATTTGTAATAAGGCACTTGTATCAAAGTTGAAAATAGATGCTAATATATACGAACTTGTGTGAATGATGTACACCACATGGCTAAAAGTAATTTTAATCAATAAAACAGTTAGGCTATCAAATAGAAGAAGCCTTCAAATCTATAGTTATTGCAAAATCCCATGTGTTTCAACAAATATAAACAATCAATCGATCGTATGAAACTAAACTCCTTTAGATTGTATTGATATTCATCTCAACCTTCAAAATAGACTATAACTTACCCTTCATGTATAACCTTCTCGCCACTACAATTGAAAACTACAAGCATCTATCTAGAACCAATAACTTTCAATAAACATACCATGACTTTTCAGAATAGCTTTCCCCAAAGATAGATTGTTGCTTCCTACCGTTTCATCCCATGAATGTCCAAGGAATTTTACGTATATACCACCCAATACTTAAATATTTAAATGTTTAATTTCTAACTTCATTATTATCCAAATCTCATATACCACACCAAAAGCATTACCATATCAGCATAAAGTTCACTTTTCGTATATAAATAAAGTGGCATGTATGTAAAGAATTGAAGTTTCGACGTTAAATAGTAAATTCAAAGGAATTAAGTGGTATGCATGTAAATCATCCATTAGAGTTATTGAAATATTAGAAGCGGTTATCCAATTAACTACCCCTCCAATTAACCACCCCTTTATCAATATCAAAATCCCCATAGAACAAGCTTGGAAATCATGCTTTTAGCATATCTCACAAACTTAAATGTGTAACACTATAGTATTCTATCTTCAAAAATTTCCACTTCTTCTCTTTTTTTTTTCAATGTCAAATCATGAGCAGTTTATAGTATTTCTTAGAAGAGTGAGACCAAAAAAAGTATAACTCATATAGCCGAACCAATACCCATTGTTTAAAGATACTAAAGATAAGAGTAAGGAATCCTCTCAACGACAAGGTAGTAGATATAGTTCTAAAACATTAGAATTGCAAGCTATTATGCTACCGTAGAAGAATAAACAATATATTAATGATTTGAGATGCATTTTCATGAACGAATCCATAATCTTCAATTTCTAACCAAATCTAGAATTGCTTATTTGTACTTCGTTATATTCTGAATTTTCATATGACCTCATAGCATGATTCATGAAACACTTTAATTAGAACAAGAAAGATGTATTTACATATCTCATTTGGTCATATATTTTACAAATAACCATTCAAGCATCCAATTCAACTTATAATACCACTGTTAGCCTGTAAATTTTGATGAATATACATGTACATAAATCAGATTTTAATTATCTGTAAGAAGAGGTTAATCCAAATTGACTAACACATCCCTACTCCATCATACTTTAATGATACATTTAAGAGAGTATAGTTTATAGTGGTTAAAAAGGACTAAACATTCAACATTTGATGTATACCAAACAAATACCTACTGTATATCAAGAATATGCCAATATCATCATGTTCCAAGGCATACGTGAAATTTAGTATTTCTGTATTTCAGAATAACACAGAAAGAAAACAGTGATATGGTGTTTTAACAGAAGAACATAACTAATATTAAAACAGAGTAGCTACAGTTTTTACTCCCTCCATTGATAAAACATAAATATAGTGCAATTTCTCTGGTAAACATCCATATTCAAAGAAGTATTAAGTATAAAAAGAAAGATATGTTGATTCACAGATCTAAGATCTGTAACTTAAAATCCTCCAATTCATGAATTAATACGCATGAAGAAGCTCTTAATAAAAAAAAGTGAGGATTGCTTCAATCAAACCTTCATCACTAAATATAAAACTATGAAGAGATCTTTACCTTCAAGTGCTCACGGAATTCAGAACTTCAGATGGTCAAAAAAAGGAGGAAACCGCGACACAGGGATTCGAAGAAAAACAAAATTCACCAAAAAAAAATCGCGCCTAAAATTTCCTCTCAGGGGTATTTATAGCCGGACAAGCTACCGGTGGTGAAGAGCGGCGGTGAGGGGAATAGGCAACCAACGAGGTTTTCGATAGTAGGAAGGTGGCCGGACTCTTCTGGGAGGAAAAATTTCTTACCGGCGAAGCAACCGGCGACGAGAAGAACAGGCGACCAACTAGGGCTTGAGAGGAAGAGACGACCAACTCGCGAGAGCCCGGTTAGACTTTCGAGGTGTGAGCTGAGGAAGGGACCGTAAGCTTCTTTTTTTATTATTATTATTAAGAAATTTTTTTTAAATATTATTATTTTATTAAAATTCCTCAATTTGCATACAATAAGATTCTGTCCGGACTAGCCTGTGTGTTATTTTTTACATCCGGAGTCCAGTGGGTACATACCACGTGGCATGTGGGCCCCACTAATATATTGGTTGTGTAGGTTTTATAGAGTGGGATCCACTTATCATGTGACATGTGTCTATTCCAAATAAGAATTTTGCGTCTGATATCCTGATGTAATAAATTTTGGTTATCATGAGCTCATGAAACCTCGTGATTCACCTTCTTGCTCCATTGCTTCATTTGTTGGTCTGCTTGTCCTCAAAGAAGCCTCGATCGATGCTCACATCAGCAAAGGCCCATGTTTATCTGCATTCCTCACACCCTATTCACGCTTCAGGTTTTTCAAATTTTGAAATTAATTTTTCAAGCTCGCTTATTAATCGTGGATTTTATGAAAGATGGAAGAGAAATTGAAAGATGAAAATCCATTGCTTCATTTATTGGTCTTGAAGAGATCTCGTGCACCACTCGTTAAACATTGGAAAGACATTTGTGGTAAGAAATCAGAGATCACTCTGGATGGACAAGGCACTTTTTTACTCTGGGACTAAAATGACCTCTTGCAAAGGGTCACATGATTCTCTTAACGCTTTTTCTCAATGTGAAATAATATGAACAAAAAAAAAAGGAAAATAATGAACTGAAAGACAAACTTCTAAGCGAATGATCAATAACTTGTAACCAAGCTTTATTGCAGTTATTGGTCGTACATCTTGTTTTTAAGAATGAATAACTTAAATTAGGCATTCATCGGCCAGCATAACTGTTAGCTTTGGAAAAGAAGGATTGATTAGCTCTGTATCTAATACTAATATAATCTAAGTGGTACTTGTCAGCTAGATCTATTATATTTTGGTTGTATTAATCATGTCCAGACCAAATCAAAGAATAAATGGGAAGGTTCAATCCAAAATAACCAAATTTTAGTCATTACAGGCTTATTCATGTTATGAAATTTAGGGCAAAACAATCACAGGAATCGACACAAATCCAAAAGAAGAACGCAGAGATTTAGCGAGGTTCGGCAAAGATGCCTACATACTCGGGAGCGAGCGGCGAATTTCACTATTCAGAAGGGAGTTCAGTTACATACCCAAGAGTTACACATATATAGACATATAAAAAACCCATAGATAAATTACCAACACGCCCTCGCTCCCCCCAACCCACAAAATACGAAGAGACACAGTTTTTCACCAAGAGACACACCTCTTCACTTCAAAAAACTCCAACTTCCGCTATATGAGTCATGCCTAACAATTCACCCATTTAAATGCTCATACATCAAGACCAAGTTTGAGGGCCAAACCAGACATACATGAGACTGGTGCAACACATATGCAGACTAAGATAGGTGAAATAGCATTTTTTGTAAAATATATTAAATGTTGCACACAAATGGGTTAAGCGCCGATCAAAGACAAACTATTTGCAAGTAGCAGGGTAATTTTTTATTCATAAACGGGTTTCTAGCTGCAACCTTATGAGAATAGAAAAGAAAAGTTAATATCCATTGAAACAAACTATCAGCTTCAGTTAAAAGACATTCATATGATATATTTATATTGATCTTTTCTCAAATGTGAAATAAGCAATGAAGAATCATACAACTCTGATGTTCTAGTCTTATCAACAACTGCAATAAACTATATAGTTGAGTTGAATATGCATCTGTAGATTTTAATTATATATTGAAAGTGTACTAAATATGTATAAATTCTAACAATATGTTAAGATTTTGATTTACAGCTCTAAAAATTGAAATACTTCTTAGAGCGACAGAAAAATGAAAGTGATTGATTCAAAATACATGAAAACATTCATGGACAAAGATATGTTGGATATAAATGCTGCTGCTGAAAGATTTTCCATTCAGCAAAATGATTGCTCTTAGCATACTCAACAAATTGGTGACATATCACATTGGATGGAAAGGATCGAACTGAGTACAATGCACTTGTAAGTGTTGCATAATTCAAAAATATGAGCATCATCCATAAAGTGGACATCATAACTGATTTGATCTGCAAAACTATCAATCTTAATGGCAACTAAACTGCTATTAGTAATGAGAAAAGAGTTATGATTTACCCAACCAACAGGAAAGGGTTTTGGATGAAGTTTTACTCTTAGGTTAGATCAAGAAATATGTGGGTTAAAATAAATATCACTGCTTTTCCTATATTTGTGTTAGAGGTGTTAAAAATTGACCCAACACAACTCGAACTTGGGTCGAAAAATATACAGGTTAGGGTTGACCCAAATATTTTTCAAGTAGGGTTTGGGTTTGAGAATTTGACACGTAAAAATTTTGGGTCTGGTCTGGGTTGAGCCTAAGAACTTGAGCATGACCCGAATAAACACAAAAAAAGGGATCGGGCTTGGGTTTTCTAATTTGAATATATGTTTTTTATTTTACGAGTAAATAAAATTTAGTTGTACTCTTAACTCTTATACCATTACTTATATAAACAAAGAATTTTTAAAATTTACCTTTTTTTACTTATTAAATGTTAGCAGTATAATTTTTAATAAAAAAATTGAGATGGCAGGTTAAATTAGTCGGGTCCGGGTTATCCGTGTTTGGGTCGAGTTGAGTTCGGGTTAAGTTTTTCAACCCATTTATTATTTGAGTCGGGTTCAGGTTGCCCTGATTCATGTTGGTTCAGTTTTGAGTCGAATTTGAACTCAAACAGCTGACCTAAATTGACATCCCTAATTTATATGACTAACAGTGTTTCTCATAGCACATAACATACATGATAAATTTTTTCTCCGTTATTCAGTTTTATAACTCATTATTCATTCTTCAAAGGCGTCAGATCACATTGCTGTGAAGTTCATCCGTAGATTCTTCATCATAAAAGGGCAAATCATCATGGACTTCTTCTAAGCCTTCATGTATTGGGTCCTTAGTTTCTTCTGAGAATAAGATTTAGGCTTTTCATTATAGTTTATAGAAGGTCTTTTATATGACATTTGAAACAATTTACGATGGCTCTATGAGCACAATCATACTTTAAATGTGTTTTGATGATAACAAATAAAAGGTGAATGATATTAATATGTTTCTCGTAAGTATTTCAAGAAATATTTTAGACTTAGGAATCTCAGTCAAGCTTGTGGAGTCAAAATCATTTGAATTAAATAGTTTGGAGAAGTGTTTAAGGTATGAGTAGCACTACAAAAATTTAGCTTATAACTAATAGTCAAAAACCATCGGTAATAATATTGAAACTATCATAAACTTAATTACCGACGTTTAAGCTACAATTATTCGACATAGCAAAAATTATTGTCGATAACATAATTATTTATGGATTTACCGACTGTCCTTTTAACACTGGTGGTTATCCAAAGAATATTAACCGTTGTTGTTGGTTCAAAACCATAATGTGTTTAACCGTCAGTAATATAACTGACGTACATGTATGTCGGAAAAAATGTTGCGCTTCCACTGGAAAAGTGTCGCGCTTTTGTCTGAAAATATAGCATAATCGTTGGTTAATCTTAGATAAATATTAATAGTTTTATCCATTGAAAAAGTGCAGCACTTTATGAAAACATCATTTGTTTATTAGTCCATCGCGCTGCCGTTGAAATTTAATCAGACAGCCGTAAAACAATCGGTAAGCCTTCGAAAAACTTTAGCATCAGAAAAAAATTAAACTCCTTCAACATTATAATTTACGCAAATGCAATAATAAAAGTATAATTTTCACACATCACAATAATGAAACTAATTAACGCATAAACGATATAAATAAATAAAAAAATAATAATTTCCTTAAAAGAAACAAAATGTACCGGTGTCCGATAAAAATATTAGACCAATAAATTGTTTAACATATGCAAACATTAAAAAAATCACTTCCGCTTATCCTCATCGGTTCTCTCCTCATCTTCCTCATCATCATCCTGAATTGAATGTTTTCTTCTTTGACGTTCAGAACACAACATCGCTTGAATCTTTGATTTCATCTTTTGCTCCATCTATGATCTTAAGGTTGCTTGTTGGGTGGAGACCTGAACAACAACCTCAACAACAACCGGACGATGAATCTTTTCCTCTTGTGCAGTTAAAGTAAATGCATTAGATGTGTTAGAGATCGGGAAGACGTCATAGGCCGGCGCCTGGGACTCCAATCCATAAACCTTACCCTTCTTTTGTCTGCTGATAATCTCCCTCCACATGTCGTATTTAGAAGAATCGTGAGATGTGTCCATCTTCGGCTCTCTTTGAGCCTCTGGAAGGCCTCCTACAAAAAATATAATTAAAGAAAGTTGGAGACTAAATAAACGTTAATAGTTATTTAAATTTTATACTAATTAATCTTTTGAATTGCATGGGTCAACTGAGGTATGTTGTCCACTCAGAACTAATCTGATTGCTACCCGTTAGTGCGCTTGTATAACTTTGTAATAGTTGGCTCCCGTCCATTCTCTAAAGTTTGTCAGCGTAATGAACCAGCTAGCATACATTTAATGTAAATAAGATTTAATTCAAAAAAAATTATCAACATCCTCTTGTACTATGTATATGGGAGCGCCCCACTAATATACTTCGAGACCCCCAGGCCCTCGCATTCAGAGAGATAAATGTTCTTGGCCTGTTGAGATATATTTATCTTTTTAGTCATAACTCTCACTTTTAAGCATGAAAATTGCTTGCTAACGTGGCAATTTTTTCCTTTGACGCATCAGCAAGTAAAATCGTCTGCTGAGATAGTGATTTTGCTAAAAAAAAATTGAGATAATTATATATTATAATAATTATTATTATACTATAACATTATTATATTAAAATTATTTAGCTAAGTTGGTAGAGTGTAAGACATTTAACTTTGTGGTCATGGGTTTGACCTCCATGGTAGATGCTTTTTGGATGCATAATTTTTATTTAATTATTTA